AAAGATGGTAGCAGTATCGCTTTTGGTAACTGTGTGTACCATTTTTGAAATGAAGGGTAGAAAAAACAATCTCAAGATATGGAGCCTTTGAAATCTGAAACAGGCAACTAAAAGATTGATGAAAGACTCCATTTTATCAAAATGTCACCTTAAAAGTTGAACATATTTTCAAAACCCCTCACTCGTTACCGTTTATACTCGAACATCAGTATGCATAGTCTCTATGCTGTGCTCTATGCATTACCTATGATGCTGAAAAGGAGAATTTTTTAACAACCAATCACTTCCTTTTCCTTTCCTCTCGTGTTCTATTGTGTGGTTAAAGGTGATATTTCAAAGAGAAATTACATGGTTGTCACTCTTAGGGTCCAAGGCTCACGCTCTGCGAAGAACACAGGCATGCAAAATAATAACCAAAAAAAAACGAAGTCAATGGCCAGTGCTGAGCTTAACAACAATTACAGACCCACAGGTCACATTTAAAAGGTACAGCATCTATGCCAAAACCCTCAACAAATAAACATAAACAGATGCATTTAAACTGCTTTAATTAATTGACGAATCTCAAGTTTAATGATACAAAATCAGCTAAATATACTTACTTCGATGTTTAACGAATTAACAATAGTTCTGATATATTTTTTGATAACACACCACGCTGTAAAGATGTTTAATCGTCGACCAGTAAGTTTCTTAATAATTTCCTCTTAGGATTAAAAATCATTCACCGAGAAAACTGCTAACAATGAATAATATAATTATATGATCATGATTATGATTATGTTTTAACTACCACAAATGTTATCGTGCCGATGCACAAATACTATACAGCTAAAAAAGGGTTACGACTTTGAACATTTTAGTATAAAGCTATTGCTGTTTCATCGCAAATGTTGCAATCTGATCGGTTACAATACTCGCTATATGTTCAATGATATACAGATAGTGAGTACAGTTCGAAGCCTTTTGGTGCGCGAATGCAAACAAATTACAATGAAAACATAAGCTTGACTTGTTCTCAAGGCTTGAACCATTAATACATTGATACCAAAACAATATCGTTTACTATGCACGATAATGGATTTGGACCTCTCCTTCATCAACTATCACGCTTTAGAAATGGAGAGCTTTCATAATCTAACTGTTACGTACATGAAAAAAAATTATGTCGTGTTCCCTTCTAAATTATGATTACTACCTAGCGACTAGTTGAATAAATAATACCTAGGACACTCATTAAATGAATGCTATAAATATCCTATTAAAATGCAATAAGCTATTTCTGTATTGCTATCGTTAAAACTAGACCTTATCTTGTTGTGGCATTATTCCTTTAACATTATACCATCAGCTCAAGCTACTTTTATCTCAAAATTTTTACGACCACAATTTTAGTGGCCTGGACTGCCAAAGAAAATTAACCATGTAAGATTTTAATCGACCCACAAGATTTAAAACACTTATATCGCTAGATAAAACATCGAGTTTAAGACATGAAAAAGACAATGATTTGCAAGAACTAAAGTTATGAATGAAGTGGAATGCAACATACAGTAGCTTGCTCAATAAAACCCAAACTTCACCACACACCGCACAGTTTAGTGGTTACTCTACAAACACTAATCTTGAATTATTTTCGTGTGCTAAAATTTGGCAAAAAGATGTAATTTGATGTTTACTTGGAAAAAAAGAACACAAGGAGCGAAACGAAACTACGACAGAAGCCCTTAAATTTTAAACCTAGAAAAATACTTACTCACAGGCTACGAAAATATCTCAGTATGCTCAAGAAAGGTTTCTCAGACGATGCCTCGTATATGGACACTACCTCGGTAGATTTAGTTGCGGTTTATAGTCAAATTGTTCAGTTTGTCCATCTAGGACCCGACTCTATCTCGCTACTTCGAGAAACACGTCCTTTTTTTTTCTTTTCCTTTTATTTCTAATCATTAGTTTTAAGTTATTCATACTCAAGGCAAGTACTTCTCACTTTTAACAAACAATGTGCCTTCTTATCCAACATTTATCTATATTATTGCTTCGAAATAACGTTACTGATGACTTAACTTAAGTTACAAAATGCATTTCATTTCTGCAAAAAGTAAAAATTATGCAAACGTGCTAAACCACTTAAGAACATTTTTAAATTCTAAAAATTGTTTCTAAGGTGTACGAATATTACTCTAAAGATCGGTTTATTAAGAGTTAACTGCTTATCCGTCAAGCCAGAACTGGCTTCGTCTTTCTTGCTCACTGCAAGGAAAATACAATGTGTAAGAAGAAATAACAACGCCCAACAACAGTTGCTTATGAAAGAAAAAATATTTCTTCAATTTTGAAAAGATGAGCCACTCAAAACCTCATAAAAGACAAGAATTACAATAACTGCACTCTAAAGAATAAAGACTATTTGACAATTGTTCGTGGTTTACTCCTCATTGTTATGTAATCTGTTTCCCATTGCAACATGGTAGAACAAAATAGAACAAACAAGGCCACCCTGAGTTACTGCTGCTCTCGATTGCCAAGTGTTGTCTGTTCTTTTAAGAAGAACGCTGAGCGAATTGGTCATCATAGCTAAGGTACATCAGGACTACAGTACGTTAATTATCTGATTCACAACACTCTTGCGACTTAGTAATTAATGCCAAAAAAAAAAACAACAACAACAACACACAAACAAACAAGCAAACAAAAAACACAACAAAGCAAAAAATAGCACAAGTTAATTATCGAATAAAGTGGCTTGTTGTACCAGTAAGGGTTTAAATTCAGCCACAACCTCAAGTAAATAATGACAATTCATCAGTATGACCGACAAACGCCGGCTCAAAAGTAAACAAACAATCACACATGAATAAACAAATGTACGAAACGTTAGGTGTGTTGTAATTCAAAATGAACTAAGTCAGAATTTCAATTACTCTTTGTCTTAACTAAGGTGATGAATTTGAAACGAGATACAAAAGGCAACTAAAGGTAAAGTCATAATTTGAGCTATGAAGACATTCTGCTTTCGTCATTTGCTTACGCTGCTAAATTCGAGCCCATTGAGGAAGGCAAGCGGCTGAAAAGCAAAAAAATGACAGAAATTCGACAAGGTTTGCGATTTTTGCAGGCACTACGACAGCAGCGCCGACAGTTTAACTATGGTTTATTATGGCAGATGCACAAGTGCTCTTCATGTTGGAATAGCTAACACATCCCTCAGGAGAACGGTTACGTCGATACTGAGCTCTGAAATACTTGAGAGAGAAGTAAATTCCAACATCTTACCACTGTCATCTTCCATTAAATGTCCACGAGAAATTCTACCGGTCCGCTACTGTTTCTGTCACCAGCATCGCCCATATCAGGTGATGGATCTTCGCCTTTGTCAGGGGATGAATCTTTGTCGGGGGACGAGTTTCCGTCATTATTTGATTCGTCTTCCTTCTCTTCATCTGTCTTGACTGGTCCGCGAAGGAATTGACTTATTTCTGCATATTCTGTTTTCTCGTATTCAGGAGGCATTTTAACCGGTGTGGTTGGAGGGGCGGGTGCCTTCTGATAAAATTCCCCAAGATCAGCGTACATCCCTTCACCAGGTTGCGCTTTCTGTAGATAAAACAGAGTTGGACTAATATGACCCCTGACGGCCATCTTTGGCTAAAAGGTTTTCGCAACATGCGAGGTCCAGCTATAGCGATCAGTGATTCTAAAGTTTTCTGGGTCTAGTAGGTCTTCCTCTTACCCTGGGACTAAATAGAGGAGTAACCAAAAAAAGGGTCAAGGGTGCGATTCTTCTCTATCTTGAACTCGAGCTACATGAATATATCTTCCTTCTTCATCTTCCAACTTTTCTGTAGTCTACTCCTTTCCTAATTATAAACTGTGACCACTTGCACTATTTAACGACAATTCTCACTTCCCTGTAGAATTTGGAAGGGTAAAAATAAACAGAGCCTTTGGCAATGAGTGATCCTTTGATATAATTGAGTGCCAATCCAAAATTGTGATCAACCTGCTCTGAAATAACCCCAAAACGCCAAAAGCAAGCGGGCTTTAACTTTAATGCTCTTCATTTCGATCCTACGACACCAACCTAAAAACTCAAAAGGTCACCAGTAAATGTAATATGTTTTTGACGGAAATCAAGTAAGAACACAAATGAAAATGAACAATGTATGAAAACGCATGGTTTTATTAGATTCTTTGGCGGATAGTTATGTTGCACTTCAAGACTTCACAATTAGCTGATGACTCTCGACTGCAATTAGTATTTATCAATATATTGAGGCAGCAAACTGAAAGAAACAACAGTTTATTTCACGTAGGCCCTGAATAAAATCTGAATCCGACAATAGTACTTAAAATGTAATATTCAGCATTTTTTAGTAAATAGGCAGTGCACTTTTCTGAATTTAGATTTTTGACCTTTAGTACTAAAAAAATTTATTTTCATAACTTTAATCGAATTTTTAAAAACTATTGCTCATCTAATAGTTCAAAACTTAAGTTAGAGCTGTTACATGTTATCTTCATTCTTGTTCAACAATTTTCTTTAAGTAGTGACGGAAGTTATATCATGAGTGGATAACAAATCTTGAATCATGTCGAGTGGCATGGTGAACACAAGATGAATTGCTCCCTATGTGCTGGCTCTGAATCTCGTCTTCTTTCTGTGTTGTGCATTACGAAAAGAACAGGTCCTCCAGCTTTTGGAATAGAAAGAACTGAGCTCCAATCTGGCATTTTATCTTCAGAAATGTGTGCTTAGGGGCTTTGAGTCACACATTTTGGACTGCTTCGGTGATTGTCATCCTCTTAATTCCAATAAGCCATTATTGTGCCTTGGTATCCAGCTGATTATTGCTTGGATGCGAAGACTGGGTTCAATTCAGTAAAAAGTTTCTTACTTGATTGGGAATAGGCGATCCTGACCACAGAAGCGTTAGTCTTGGGCATATCTTATTATCTAAAGATGGCTACTATCAGTAGCCATTTTAAGTTTTCAAAGTCAGCGTGAAGTTTAGTTAACATTAAAAGGCATTCACGAGGATTGTAATATGCGGTTGCACAACGTTGATTCATTCATTGATTACTGATTGCTTAAATTTTCCGGACACGACAACTTTTCCAGGCTTGTTTTGACACTAGACTAGCGCTAGATGTAAGTTAATGCGTTATCATTTCATGGCTCAATTTATGCGTTTGTTGCAAAATGAACTGCAAATTAAGATTTTAGTTGAATACGAATGAAACACGAGTTTCGGAGTGAAAAGCGTGCAGTAGAGGCTTTATGACATCCCTGAGTGGTGTACCAGACGTGGGCATAAGTAGGTCACCGCAAAGTTACGGCATTTTAAATAGGAGTCTTAAAATAATTGTTGTTCAAGGTGGGAGAACACACACAGTCACACAAAAAAACTAAAATAAACCGAAAAAGGATCCACTATGATTAACTTTTTCACGAATATGAGATTGAAGTAACTAGTGCTGTACATATGGCAACAAAAGTAGAACCTACATGACTTTGAGCTTGCCTTACCTTTGTCATACTGGAGTCGTTGATTGCAATCCCAGGAGTCTGCGCTGGATTTGTCCCCTTGAATGTTACCATTTCAGTGGAGTGGTCCTGGCCATTCGTTTTGTCATACTCGTATCCTGAATTCACATTTCCATAATTGTTCCCTTGAAGAGTCCTCTCTGCTGAACCAGCAGTGCTATCATACCAAAAAGAGGCAAGTTGATATATATATATATATATATATAAATAAAAACTAGTGAAATTAATTTGTCTTCGTCAAAAGTCCACGTATGTTACTGACTTAGGATAGAAGATTTATGGAAATTGACTATATAGAAGATTCATTTGTATTTGACTTTCACACTTCATATCAAGAAAAGCTACGAAATAGACAAAGAATCTCACAGAAAGCCAAGGCCGGAGCCATATCGAAGGAGAATGTTATCCCTATCATACCAAAAAGAGGCAAGTTGATATATATATATATATATATATATATATATATATATATATAAACTAGTGAAATTAATTTGTCGTCGTCAAAAGTCCACGTATGTTACTGACTTAGGATAGAAGATTTATGGAAATTGACTATATAGAAGATTCATTTGTATTTGACTTTCACAATTCATATCAAGAAAAGCTACGAAATAGACAAAGAATCTCACAGAAAGCCAAGGCCGGAGCCATATCGAAGGAGAATGTTGTCCCTATCACAAGTTGCCATGTACCTGTAAGTTTACGTTGTTCTTTTAATTGTAGCATTCCTTTCTCACAACAATAAAGTCCCTAATTCCCTAACATTTTAGTTCAATCCAAAATGTCAAGAACGGGAAAGTTGGTAGAAAAACAAGACCAAAAATAGAGATAATTAACCCAAGGTGGTCTTCAATCTCACGTTAAAACGATTATTACGTTAAACTCGTCGCTCAATCTTCTTTTTTCTTTTCTTTTTTTTTTTGAGGGGAAGGGGGGTGTTGACTTGTTTGTTTGTATGTACGTATATGAAGAGGAACCTTTGATCAAACGCCTCCTAAAATATATCGCAGCCTGTGATCTTGCTAACGGCCTAAAAGAGCGCTTGCTTTGCTTTAGCAGGCTTACATAACAAAAGAGCACGACGATTTCAGTTTTTACCATTACTGCGTATTTAACAAACATTGCGGCAACTATACATTATAAATCATTTTCCAAAACAAATGTCTCACCCGTCTGGATCGGCCCTTGGTGCATAGTTACCTACGAGTCAAAAACAAAAACGGTCATTTCTACTTCCAGAACAGAATTGATCTGTTTCTTTTTTTTTCTCCCCTCATCTTTTTTTAAAATTATTATTTTTCAAAATTCTGTGGCATCCATTATTACAGTTTCGGCATCGTGGAACAACCCAAACGAATCAGAAAAGAAAACAATTTGTTACCCATTTTTACCAGCTGTTTCTATCCCAGTTAGATTATTAGAACACTCACGTTTGTCCGATTTCTGGCATTTTGTTCCAAATCTCAAACAGATTGCCGGTACCGAATTATTTCTCCAGGGAATAAAAAAGTATAACTTTTCCTCTACCCCCCCCCCAAGAACTAAAAGGAAATGATAATAAAAATAAAAAGTAAATAAATAAAAAAATCACCGTTAGAAAAAAAAAAAAAAGAATTCTGATAGGCTTACCATTTGAAAAGGATGCAACGTTTGATTTTTTCTTGTGCAAACCGTAAGCTATTATTGCTACGATGATTGCCAAAACTGCCACACCTCCAATCACGCAGAGTACAATCAAACCAGGCTTCGCTGGAAAAGATCACGAATAAATAGCATGGAGTTATATGGCCAAGCACAGTTTATAATTGTAATTTAAATGAATGGAGTGCAATTTGGTCTGAAATCATACCCGTCATTTGAAATCAAAAGTAAGATGGTGCAACACGGAGTTCAATTACAGCTCTATTACATCCCTTTATGAAGCGCAAAATGTAACCAATATTCTACTAATCCGGTACTGAGCTGGTTTGAAAATGATTCAATGTTTCCTTTCATTTTGTTGCGATTTGATTGGTTACTTTAAATGACTGGTTTGTAAATGATTCAATGTTGCCTTTTTTATTTTGTTGCGATTTGATTGGTTACTTTAAACAAACCATAAAATCTGATTGGTTGTTGCGTTTTAGAAAAGCTTTCTCATTGACTAGGAAAAGATGCGATTTAGAGCAAACAATAGTGCGATGCGTAAATAAATCGCGCCGGCCAGGACCACCAGTGATTTCAAAATGGACGTAATAAACTCCAGTAAATCTTACAAGAAAATTGATGAATTGATGATCAAATTCGATTACGTTCCGAGCGGATATGAGCATGGGAGCCCTTCCCATTCCCTGTTTCTAGGTCAAATTGGAGTTTGACGTGGGGATTGGAGGAAGGAGAACGAGGAGAAGTATCCTCGCCAGAACGAAACTTTTAACAAAAAAATGACACTCGGTTCCGGTTTCTCGATAGTCGCGTTAACAAAACGGGCTCGAAACTTTGATTAAAATTAAAACTTATGGATTAATAATGAGGCTACTGGCTAAAAATACCGTTCTATTGTCTTCAATTTCCCGAAATTGTAGCTGTTCGAATTACACTTTTTATATACCTCGATGCTGAATGTGAACACAGAAAACACAATAAAACCCGTTTGTTGAATGGGAACTACCAAGACTTTCCGAGAATCAAACCCTGGCCACAGGCAAGCTCTCTCATCACTACACCATCCAGGGTACCTGATCACTAATTTTATCACGATGTCATCGCAGTGAGCGCAAGGTACAGGAACCAGAGTGTGTATCATGTTAAACGCTTTCCAAAATATTTTGTGTTTTCCAAAATAGCATTTGCCATGAGTTTACTGAAGCAAATTGGAACGCACCCCTGGAATTCGTTGGAAATAATTTGAGCTGAAAGAGGACCGGTAAGGTATTGCAGGCGAATTTTCGAAAAATCAGTTCACGCGTCACGGATGAAAAGGCAAATTTTCTAACTTCTCATCTTGAGTGTAAGGTTTATTGAAATCTTGAGGTTTTCACGTGATGGGAAAAAAAAAAAACAACAAAACAAAAATTTCAGGGTTCAAGTATACTTCAGGATATCAAATCTCCCCTTACACAGTTTCATAAATTCACGAATAACGTTAACCTTTCAGTAAAATTCACGCGTGATATTTAACTTTGGTCTTAGTCACGAGTCATGTATAAACAGTTTGTTCATACCTTAAGTTTCCTCTCAGGAGGTGATACTCCGAAGGGTCCAGCAAAGGAATATCTTTCAAAGATTCGACACCGATTATTTTCGAGAAATGGTGAAGAACAGCGACAAGAGTTGACCAGATTTTAGAGTTCGTCGTTGTTTTCAGTGAAGAACCCGACAAAAACCACAAGACGCCCTCAAAATGGCTTTGTAGAGTGGGTCTACTGCATATTTTCCCTTTCATAATTATGTGACTTATTAGGGAACGTTGCACGGTTTGATTTTTCTTATTTTGGAAACAGTTACAGGTAACTGAGAAAGAGGATTACTTTTTCTAGAAGCTTATTTTTGCCCTTTTAACTGTGATACACATGTAACATAATTCCCTCTCGTAAACATTGGTAGAGATATTAATTAAAATCTGTGATTCTGTCAATTTAGCATTTTTCCCTTGGATAGTGAAGGGTCTGAGGCTTTCATTAGATTGTTGAGCATTAATTTCCCTTGTGATCTTTTCCAAGTCCATGCAAGATTTAAATGATATATTTTGTGCTCTATTCATGACATATAAAAATCTTTTAAAATTGTTCTGAACTGGACTGAAATTGTGTCGCAGAACTTCTGCGACACCCAGTGTACGAGTGGTTGAGAATTTCTGCAACATCCAGTGTATGAATGGTTGCAGAATTTCTGCAACACCCAGTGTATGAATGGTTGAAGAATTTCAGCGACATTCAGTGTCTCAATGGTTGCAGAATTTCTACTACACCAGTGTATGAGTGGTTGCAGAGTTTATGCGATATCCAGTGTATGAGTGGACGCAGAATTTCTGCAACATCCAGTGACCGACTGTTTGCAGATTACATAGATTACCTCTACATCTTTTCATAGTTGACCATTAAAACATACTTTCTTTCGGACATGTTAAATCTTGCAGAGGGAAACATAAATTTTGAATTCATTTTAAATTTTGTCTGCAAAATTTGACTATTAATTTTTTAAGAGATTAGCAAAACATGCAGAGAAAAATCATTGATTTATCCAAAAATGTACTATTTTGGAAAACGAAAAAAGGTTTGGAAAAAGTTGTAAGCTTGCAATCATTTGAACTTGTTATACAATCGGTGAGAATGTCTTTTTGAGTGAAATCACCAACGTGATTAATGAAATACGCGCCCTCTGATTGGTCAATCAGTACGCTATATCATTAAAATAGTGGTTGACAATTTACATGCCAATCTTGTCTTTCGTGATTTCGCTCCAAGTTCATGGCCATCTCCACTTTCACTAACATCTACAAAAAACTATTACTAACGTTATATTTTCACACAACAGGTTGATTTTAGAAAAAAAAAATTAATCCCTACCTTTTTTACAATCTTCTCCCTCAAAGAAGGTTCTACAGTCCTCGGGTGGTTGTGAAGTTGCAGTTGGCCCTGAAGTTGCAGTTGGCCCTGAAGTTGTAGTTGGCCCTGAAACATACATACAAACATACAAAAAAAAAGCCTCATTTCATTCAGTTTTAAACTCTAAGCCACCCAGGCACATTTTCACTCATCATTACGGGTGCTAAGGGAAAAGAAATCTCGGACCTAGTAATTCCAAATGCGGTTAAGCCAGCGCTAGGAAATGTTAAACTCTGACTTAGTTCAAAACGCCTCAAAAAGTTAGCTTTCAAAGTACAAAGTCATCAACTGTGTCTCCCAAAATCTGGCTTGTCGGATAATGGAGATTAACTAAGCAAAATGCTGTGATCTGCAAAACAGCAACAATTGACGAAGACAAAAGAACTAACCTGGGAAATTATTTCCAACGCTAAACTCTTCAACTTCCATATCGCCAATTTTTCCCTTATTCGCTGCCTGCGTCAGCAATGCATTTACATTACTTTCTCCGACAGAATTGGTAAAGTTTAGTTCCAAGTCAGCAATGATACTTCCTTGCCTGAGAGTAAGCAAGAAATCAAACGCTTTTAGACGAAAAGACAAATAAATAGTGATGTGCCGAAGGGCTTTAGGGGATTTAATTTAAACCTGGACTTCCTCGATAAACTTTCTAGCTATACTCCTTCCAATCTAGCCTCCCACCCTTTCAATACCCAAATTTCGATATTTCATTTTAATCGTAAAGCAGTTATGTGTTCTTCCTAGCTCTAAGTCAAAATCTCTTGACTTTAAAATAATGATTGGTTTGTGACCTCAGAGCTTCATATGCATCGGAACTGCTAATACTGCACAATAAACAAAATTAACCATAAAGTTTCTGATTTAAAGTACACAAAGTTTGAAAACGTATTACCTCAGTTCGGTCACCTTAACGCTAATGAGACCAGTGCCATTGAATTCCTTCATCATCTGGAAAAAACAAAACAAAAAAACTTCCATTTCTATGTTCTCTACTTTCTATGTACTGACCAGGAGAAATTTATGCCCCGATCTGCTGTTTTAAAACGACACTAAGAGCGAAGCCTTTCGTACGAAATAAATTTTTATCCCAGTAAAAGAAACATTAATTTCTATAGGAAAAGCACCACACTTCGCCTAATTCGGAGTAAGAAGGTGTCCGTGTAGAAATCAGGTAGGGCCTTGCAGTAGCCTGGTGCATACCTACACCTTCATAAATTATTCTAAATCATGATATGCAATGGGCTGTATTCCAAAATAATTATTTCTTTCCTTAAAACATTACAATACTAACTTCAAGTTAATCATAATTATTTTTACCAAAGCACTCACATTTTTTTTAATATCTCGGACAAGTGCTTTCGTCTCTGAATTTTCCAGGTTCTCGTATACTTGTTTGAACTCTCCCTTGAGTTTAAGTCCCACAACAACTTTTTTCTTAAGTTCCTCTGTTAGGAGCAAGAGAAGTATGAACATTACAAAAAGCGAAATTACCTTTACTGTACAACCTACATTGCACAAAAAATAACTCGTTAGAAAGGGATAAAACATCGAACACCTTCAGTTTATCTCAAAGCTTTGCGCAGCAGGCAAATTGAACGAACATTTGCTTATCCACTTAACCGAAGTACCGCCACTATGGTAAATGCAAGAAGAAAGGTAGTTTGGTTTTCACTGGGCGTGTAGTCGCAAAAATAGCAAAATGTTGCAAAATTTTACTGAATGAACACGTGTATGGCTGAATGTAGTTCTGTCCTTTGGAAGGTTAAAGGCTGATTCGTTCGAGACCAACATCAATTTACAAAGTATGTGCTTCGTTAAATGTATGTCTATTCTTTGGAGTGTTAACGGCGGATTCATTAGAGATCAGCATCAAGTCTGAATGATCAGTCTATCTGCCTATATGTATGTCGCATATATATCAGGTATACTCAAGTTTCTAATACAATGATCTTCATGCGGGGTATCAATAAATAAATGTGCACAACCGCGTGTAAAACGAAGATTTTAGTGAAAGAAGAGTATATTTAAAATGTGCAAGCATTTAATTTAAGGCTGGGAAGATGGCAAAATGAATCAAATGCAACGGGAGTGGCTTTTTATCTGCTACAAATTGAAAAGTTGTTCTAACCTTTTTCCAGACAGTTTGTTCCTTTTTTTTCCTGAGGACAGATACAAAGGTGTTTGTCTCCAAACTTACGACACGATGTTCCATTAGTACATGGTTTCCCACAGAAACCACCTGTAAAGAACGAGAGTTAAAAATCGTGAGAAATTTACATTTCTACGTTCTAAATATGCTCAAGCTCTTTGGAGACAGTAAAAATCATAGGGGAAGTACAGATGCTAAATTTAATCAAGAAGAAAAAAATAAATCCAAAACTCTAAAACTGATAAAAATAAACTATTTCAGTTTACGAAGCAGTTTAGAGTTGTAATTTTATTTTTAAATTTTGACAGAGTTCTGGAAGAACCTTTATATTTCTCCGAAATGTCTTCATTATAGATAAAATATTTTTATGTTATTAGAGCTGTGATCACATCGAAAATATGTTGAACCCAGGGACCAGTACTTCCCATGCCTGGTTCGGGCCAATCAGGTTCCAGGTAATTTCATAGCAAACATGTATTCACTAGTAACTCAGCAATACCAGCTAATAACTTCTCTACATTTTGTAGGAGAAGCATTTCCTATGTCAACTTGACTCACCCACCTTTATATAAGATAAAGGTAGAGAAAGATGTTTTTTTTCTTGTCACGAGCGTGGGACAAAGAATTCCGGAATCCGAAGGTCTGAGGTTCGATTCCTAATGGGAACTTAAAATTTTTTCTTTTTCCCAAGCTCGTGACGAGACCAAAAAAAAACCCACCTCTCAGTTTTAGCATAAAATCATATACCAAACACAACCTGCATAAATATGTAAAGAAATTCCAGGACTATTTCTCATAACCTTTTGAAGCTTCAATCCTTAAACCCTCTTTGAACTAATTCGTACCTGTACCTGCACTATACAAGTTTGAGTTTACCCTTGGATTTACTTTGGATTTCCAACTGTACTCTGGGTAGGTGGTGACTTTACTGTTGCCCACAATTTCGCTTCACAAACGTACCAACACATACATGCATCTGTGACACTTACCAGGCCCTGGTTGTTCGAAGGTTGGACAACGCTATCCGCTAGATAAATCTCTGTCCGGTGGATAGGGTAGTTCTTTTTGCTATCACTTATCCGCTGAATAGCGATTTATCAGTGGAATAACGTTATCTTACCTTTATACAACTGGGCCCAGAACACTACCAAAAGACATGCATGTATATAATTAAATAACAAAAGTTTTAATCTCCACGCGAGGAAGCTAAACAAGCCTCAAAGGACTTGGTGCTTTTGTTACTAAGGGGCAGTTTTCAAACAAGTGTCGAAAAACCAAGACAAAAATAATCACAGTGATCAATAAGGTAAACCTTGTCATAAGCTAGTCTAAGACCAAACCGCCTCCCCCGGGGGTTTTCCTGCATAATCGCGGCAGTGATCTATCACCCCCCCAAGGCCGATGGGACATCTATCCGGGAGCATTTGTTCCAGTCCCTCGTCCTAGCGGAGACGCGATATCCCAACTGTGGATTGGTCGTCACAGGAGATTTCAACCGCTTGATATTAAGGGCTTGCTGAATCACTTTCGTCTCCAGCAAATAGTTCAAGTTCAGACCCGGAAGGATGCCATATTAGACTTGGTGCTCACTAACATGCAAGAATACTATAATCCGCCACAAGCCTACCCTCCATTCGGGTTGTCGGATCACAACGCTGTTGTTGTGTCGCCAAAAGATGGTAAACGTGATGTAAACAGAAAGCACGTTGTTAAAAGGCGTGACTTACGTGAGAGTAACAAGGCTGCCTTGGGGAGATATCTAACCTCTATTGATTGGCCTTTATTGTTCGCTCCTACGGATAGTTGCCAGGAAAAGTGGGAGATTTTCCACACTGCTGTACATACAGGGCTTGATATTCTGATGCCTGAGAAAGAAATTCGCACCTGTAGTGCGGACGCTCCTTGGATTGACCATAAGCTGAAGTCAATGATTTTGAAAAGACAAAAAGCGTTCAAATCATATGGCGGCGACTCTGCCCAATTCAAGTTCTTCCGAAATCTGGTTAACCGGGAAAGAAAGGCATGCAGAGCTAAATATTATGAAGTGAGAATTCAGAATTTAAGACAAGAAGCCCCAAAGAAATGGTGGGACGAAGTAAAGCGTCTGAGCGGCTCAAAAAGGAAAAATGGCGACCTTCTGAGCCAGATTGACGTGGAAGGTTTTTCAGAATTGTCATTAATAGAAAAGGCCAACACCATCAATGCCGCGTTTTTAGAACCGCTGGAGGAGTACAGACTGCCAACTCCACTAGAGTTTCTCCCCATGGAGGCGAATACAACACCAGAGATCCTGCACGTGGGTGAACAACGTGTTCAGAAGGTTCTGTCTCACCTTAACCCTGGGAAAGCGTGTGGGCCTGATAGAATTCCCAATTGGCTACTGAAGGAATATTCAGATGCAGTGGCTTTCCCAGTGACAGAAATCCTTAATGCCTCCTACTCCGAGCAGCATTTACCAAAAATGTGGAAGTTGGCTGACGTGACACCCCTGCCCAAAAAGAAATCAGTAAAGGAACTGAAAAAGACCTAAGACCTATCTCGCTTACTCCATGCATTTCTAAGGTCGCAGAAGGGTTTATTGTGGACGACTACGTCAAACCAGCAGTTATGAGTATCATTGACGACAGCCAATACGGGGCAATACCAAACTCTTCCACGACTATGGCCTTAATTAGCATGTTACATAATTGGTCAATTAACACTGATGGAAATGGCGC